AAAATCACAGATTGACAAAACTAATCAACAATTTACAGATGTCTCACACACTGGAAGTATGTACCCTTTACGCGAGTTTCGGCTGTCAGAACTGATCGTGCACGCTGTCACACCTCCCCACGCGAGGCGGCCCTCCCTGGGTTCCCACTCCGCCCTTGGGCACAGTCTGGCGTTTCGCTGAGTTCGTGAATTTGTTCCTTTATGATCAATGGCATGAGTTCACCGCCCGCGAGAAATAAAAAGCAGCCACATCCATCAAACAGTAGCACAGCATTTGTCCTGATGTCAAAAAAACAAAGACGCAGATGTACAAACGTTTGGGTAGGCATTTTGCATCGGGTATTCCCGTTGATAGAAATGCTATTAATCAATAAATTCAGATTCAGACATGTCAATAAATATATAAGTTACGGTCTCCTCGTGTGCTGTTCTCCAGGTGCTTCAAAGTTTCCAGCTATAAAGCAATAAATCTTTTCTTCTGTTGTCATGTATCAATTTTCCTTGTCACGTCATTTTACTCAAGGTATTGTAGAATCAGGATAAAATTTATTTATGGAAACAAACACCATACAGCCCCGAGCCTTCCAAGAAGAACGAAAATTCTTCACAAGTCATACGAGCGGCATGTCCCGTTCCAGCCATTTCCCACACATGATGTCATCCATGGACATTGCGCAAGTGTCCATCGTGTCCAGAGAGTTTATTAATACTCTTCCGGTGTTGTTCGAATCCCATATTGCATATACTCTGATTATTGCGTCCAGTTTTCCACAGACTTTCCTTTTACGTTTCGTCCTTCGATAAACCGTGAGGGCGACTGGCGAGCGGCGCGCCGATTGGATTTCTCACTGGAGATTAACCCGGTGTGGTTGGACCCGCCTCCCAGCACGCCCACCGTGCGGGGCTTTTAATTTGCGCGCGGCGGGTTCATCACCAGTGTGGGTAAGTGTGGTTCGTCACCGGTGTGAGGAAACAGCCGCGGATTAATCGTGCGGGGAGTACAGACGCGTGGAGGCTGCGAGGAGAACTCATCTCAGACAGTACTGTACAACAACGTCCGCGTCAGGCGTGCAGGATCATTACGCCTCAAGACACTCTCAAGCCGGGACTTTTAGAACACGCCGTCGCCTTGAAGACGTTCTAGAAGGAAGTCTGTGTTCACATTTGCGGTTCAAAGTAACGTTCATCCCAAGAGAGCGCGTATCGTACCTCCCCACACCGGTCCTCAGGCCTGCTGAGCCTCCCGCCCGCAGACTTGACCCACCAGCGCCGGGACAGATATCGGCTTACCCCCGCCCGTCTCGGCTTACCCGCGCCGGTCTCAGCTTACCCCGCGGGCTTCACCAGGGACACTGACGCGTGTCGGGTTTCCTGCAGGACCAGCCCGACAACATGGCGAGCGGCAAGGCTACAGGACCCGCCGCTTGGGAGAAGGACCTCTCCCAGGAAGAGATCGCGGAGCTGAAGCAGGCGTTCAGCGAGTTCGACAAGGGGACGGGGATGATCGACACCGGGGACTTGGGCTACATCATGCGGGCCATGGGGCAGAACCCCACCGAGCAGGAGGTCCAGGACATGGTCAATGAGGTGGACCTCGACCAGTCCGGAACCATCGACTTCAACGAGTTCATGTCCGTGATGGCGCACAAGCTGCTGGAGACCGACCACGCAGAGATGCTCAGGGTCGCCTTCCGGGTACGTACGGGTATAAAAACCATCCTATTGTCGATCTACAACCGTCCTGTTACCATTACATGTAGGAACAGAAGGGGAGGGCATACGTCGTTCCATTTTTGTCCCAACGGCTGGGCATAGTATCCATGTCAATTTTTAGAGTAGGTCTGGGACACGCGTACGGTATGTACGTAGAGATGCCCAGGGACGCCTTCCGAGTTGGTACGGAAACAGGACGATCTACCATTGCCCTATTGTCGGTCTTAGTCGGGAAGATAAAAAGGGGAGGTCGCAAACGTTATTCCATTTTTGTCCCAAATGTACCAGTAGAACATGGTATGTGTCAATGTTAGTGCTATGTACGTCTAGATGCTCATGGATAGCTTTCCGGGTAGGTGCATAAATAGGACAAACCACTGCCGTCCCAAAACAGTCCCACTATGGTCGAGAATAAGAAACAGTAGCGAAACCGTTGTTCCATTTTTGTCCCACACGGCATGGTATGTGCTGGACTTCCGAGTCCGTTTCTAGTCTGAGTCCTTTGGCAGGACTGCAAAAAGATGTACGCACAAATGGTGTTTTTGGTACACAACAGGACAAACTACGGCCGTCGCTCTACTACACGCAGAAAACACTAGGCAAAGTTTGTCTAGTTTTGTTCAGTTTCATTTTTCTTTCCCGGCCCAGTACGATATAGCATGGTCTGCTCTTCAGGTTAGTCTCCACGCGTTGTTTCCCTTTCCGTCTGGTTTAGTCATTCCGCACAGCTGTGACTTAGTCTGTGGAGTCGAGGGAAAGTCTCTGAAGATATCGGCATGTTGGCATTACTTATCTTCTCAGCCTCTACCGCCTGTACAAATATCAGAAGAAAAACATTTATACTGCTTGTCGGGGGGGGGGGTATAGGTTGGCCGGTAGCCACTCATAACAATGTTCCACCCGCGACCCTACAAGCAAAACGCTGACCAGGGCCGGTACAAATATAGCACCCAACATGTTTGTTAGCAGTGGTCGCGCACTGTTGTCACATGCAGCTGCCTTGTAACTAGTCACTAGGAAAACCCTACATTCTTTACATGGTGTACACCAAGGAAACAACTGATCGGTCGGACATGTCTTGTTTCGCGTTACACGTTATATATGTATGCCCTATGTCATACTAAGTACCACAGCGCGTGTGACAGCCGTTTGTCTCCGGCCCGTCCTGTTGTTCACAGAACGGGATCATCTCTAACATAAATCAGTATCGTCTGTGGCGCAACTGTCGTGTAAAAACCCTCCACAAGCACGTTCAGCCTCATCAGGCCACGGTCAGGCCACAACCGGCGTTCAGAGATGCCAAAGGCCTTCGATGTTTCTACTGATTACGCAATAGTTTTTATTGCTGTCTGCGCTACTACAAATGTAGCTCCCGTTTTCTATGTACAACAGTAACAAAATACAGATATCATGTCACGGCAGCTGTCTAGAAGACATAAAATGATCACGGCAATGCAAGAACGCGTACCGCGGAGTCCGAGTGTTCAACAACGTGTGTTGGAGTGTACATGTGTTCCGGAGGCTAAGAAATCTTCACAGTTTATAAACTTTTCCCCAATTTTCCCCACTCTGCGGTGAGCATAACCAAACAAAAACAAGATGATGCAAAGCAATACCCGGTACTACTAATATATCCACCATGATTTTGTAGTCACGCTGAAATGAAATCTGCAGGAGGTGACGGGACTATTGGAGATGAATAAAATCTGTGGTCTGTAATTCCCGGGAGGTGTTCAAATGATTTTTTGTTGGCACGGATCGGAGGTTTAAAGATTGAATTCCGGCCGTTTGCCGCTCACCTGATGTTGACGATACTTTGTTGAACTGTGTATTGCAAAGAAAGGCGATTTTCGCAGGTACAATTAATAAACCGATAGTACTGCACAAAACGTCAGCAGCTTTCCAATGAGCTGGAAACGTTCACGGGATTGAGATGAGTTTTCATTTTGTAACGAGCCCGGCTCGTCTTCACGTTTCAAACACTACATGCTTCTGTACACTGTAAAACCAGTATCATGTGTATCCCACAGTCTCTGACGGGAACTCATTGCCGTACGACATAACACAAATTGTAGACCCGATCAACTGCAAGGAGTTAGTCCCTCTATACCTCAAATCGCAGCAGTAACCGCTCATCGCATCCCGTAAGGGCTTGTATGCTACACCTGAGGGGTGTTGCCTAGAACAAGAACAGTTTCCCCAGTCGTGTGAAATCCGGGCTGGGTACAGCCCCAGAAACCCTGTCCGGGTGCCGACCTCCAGAGTTTGATTTGCCCAGGCCGCAGTTAGCGCCGAGGCATGAGGAGAGTCGTAAAACACACGGATTAACTCTGAACTTTGAGTGGTTCCGTGATAACGGCGGGACCGACACGCCGCCGCGCCACGGTTTACTCACGCTGTAAATCTGCAGGGAGAGGCGGGGACGTGTCGGCAGCCGCGCGCTCAAATATCACATCACGTCAGCCGGGACAGAAAGCAGGTAAATATGAAGTGTTATATGACGTCGATGAACATAAGACATCCAGGTGGAACAAGACGTAATACAAAATAAATGAAGCAAGAGTCAGGCGTTTCAGATAGCATCCACTATTTTCCATCACTCAGTGACTGAGAAGTATTATAGACATGCGAATTACGGATGTGGCAAACTAATGAGAGACTTGTTCGGTTTAATACCCCTCATTAGAAGTAAGGTACTCCAGAGCAGACCCGATCAAAGTTTGGGAACGAAATTGGATCCAGTGGCATGGCTTAGTACTCTGTGCGATGGGACGTGCGGAAACGCACGTTTTAATGTGGAGTCAATGAAAATGTTAGCAGCCTACAAGGTGGCTTGATGGTCTGCTTGTGGTTCGGTAAACCGGCGTCACGATGTCAACGACCTTAAGTCAAGTAGGTTGATCGCCAGTAGTGGCTGAATTTCAAAATCGCCATAGCCGAGCGTATTAGGCCGCTTCTTAAAATCGCGCAGAGATCTGAGAGGACGCTGGCCGAAAACCATTTCACAACCCTTACAAAACAAGTTTGAAAAATGTCTCCATCGCCACTACCTACATCTGCTTGGAGATAGTATCACGCACACGGCGTCCTCTAAAAGCCTGCAAACCGCTCGGAGCGTTTTACTGCGCTTTTAAAACAACATGTGTACAGAAGCGGCGATGCGCCCGTAGTTTTACGGGACTACTGATCTGATACTTTACGCAGATAGACAAGGGTCGTTATACCGTAACATTAGGGATCAGGCCTTTCTTTGGTAACGGATAACTCGGTTGGGTTAAGGCAGCCTATGGCCAACTATGATTAGTATTTCATACATATGGCTGTAACTTTTGATAGCTTGGTCGCACCACAACTTAACTTCACACAGTTCTAGTAGTGCTTGAAACACATTGAGTAAAGGTTATTTTGTTTTTACTACTTCTGAATTTTTGGGTTAAAAATCAACATTTTGGTTAAAAAAAAGCTGTTTACTTCATGGCTTTACGCCCAAGCGGTAACAACACCTTTCATCATGATATTTTACAAGTAGAAAGCCAACCCCCTATTTATTATTTTTGTCCGAGGCTATTTTGTTTTAAATGACAGTAACACTGTTTTTTTGGGCCAAAAACGACAGAAACAGCTATTTTTCTGTCATTTTTCGTTAAAAAATCGCCACAGTTAAAAAATTTCGACTTATATGCAAAATAGCCTCGGATAATTTTGATAAAAAAGTGATAATACGTAAACATGGATTACTCTAAAGATGAATTATGTTGTTTTCAGCTGGGCGTAAAGCCGTTTAAGTCATACTCCGAGAATAAAATGCGTAACAACGCGGGTTTACAGGGAAAACATACAAATGACCGCCGGTAACCCCGAATTCGAACACGCGTTCTATTCGAATGACGTCATATCGAACATGGTGGAACATGATTCGGGTTCGAAACATGTATGTGGCAATCGTGCAGATACACGTCCGAACTCGAACATGAATATCAGCCTAGGCCGCCTTAACCCAACCGAGAAGAGCCTCTATCACATAAATGCCCGGTATGATATGTCCACATCGTCTTAAGGTTTCGTAGTAAAGTAAAAGGGAGTCGTAAACATTTATGCCCATGACGGTTTTTCTGCTAATGTGATGTTGCATAATTCATGCCTGGAATGAAAGCGGAGGGCGCGGGTAGGGTGGCACTGGCTCCGTGGGCGGTACCAACATCGCCAGAAGGGGGGAGGATTTTGCTTTGGAAGGTATCTTTCGGTGGGAAAACTCTTACAGGATTCTTTGTCAAATCTTGTAGACAAAAAAGACGCATTGATAGACTAGTTATCTACAAACCATTTCTAAGGATCTTCGATCTCTCTCACATGAAACCTTCTTTATCGTGCACCAACCCAGCTTGATACTGACCACTGTTCAGTGAAACCTTTTCGAACGGCAACTTCAAAGTTTGGACGATAAGTTCAAAGGATATACGTGACATATTGCCGGATACCTACATAATCGTCTGCTGAAGTGCACTCTACATTTCTCCACAATAACTTGAATAAGCCATGAAGTATTCATGATTATGTCCTCCAGCTTTCACTATGTTACGTCAAGCGATAAAATCGAAATTGTTTCCATAAGAATAGTTTATCACCCCGATGCGATGTTTCCTGGCTTATATTTCTGCTTGGTTGAACTGCGAATGTTTTTTCTGTCCTCATGTGACCCATCGTGGTTTACGAGCGCCGTATGTGAGAAGAGGTAACCTCGCACCAGTCGGCCATGTTGGTTCACAGGTTACCCGAATCCCATAGTATCTGTTGTAGGTAACACAATATCCAGCTGCCATGTTAGACACTGGTAGCTGTAGATGCTACAGCCATGTTGAAGTGAAGAAACATAATCTCCCACGGACACGTTGAAGTATGTTTGAAACAAAGAGTCAAAACAAAAATATTTCTCCCCCATACTGACATGCCATTTCTTGTAACCGTGAAGTAAGAGTCAAAGTAATTCTATAAGTTACAGTTTCAATACATGTAGTTTGAAACTGTTCCGCGGGTGAAAGCTGACAGTGTATACTTTAAATCACAGGGAACTGTTCTGTCACTAAGCCTGGTTGTTGTAATTCCTTACGGCAATCCTATTATAAAGACGCCGACTTTCTCCTCAGTTTCCTATGTAACAATTTGTTACGCCCTTCGCCTTCTCCCATGTATCTTCCCCTAGCAGCGATCCTAAGACACCTTGACTCGCCAGTTTGCCTTGACGTTGTTCATCGCAGCATCCCTAAGGCGTCTTGGCTCCACAGTTTGGAGTGTAATCATTCCTTAGGCAATCCTGAACCCGTGCCAAGACCTCTATCTCCCCACAAGGTCAGGCGAGTCAGAAGAAGGATGTACGTTCTTGTGAAGTTGGCGGGAAACACGGTCATTACCATGTTCCTGTCAGGTCCTGTCAGCGATGGGGTGGAAACAACGGGCAGGACGTTTTCTCTGGTGACAGTCCCGGGTGTTGGCGCATTACATATGCTATGATGAGCTACTGTAGGGGTTTGAATTGTTTTGAACTTGCGTGTGGATGCCATGACCAGAGCCGGCATCAAGCAGAAATATGCACCAGCTATGAAAAACCTACAGTCAGGGCTGGTCGACCAACCAATTGTTACTATCCATCTCTGACTCTGTGTGTTTGCACTGAGGTACACTAGATTCTCCCTCCGTGGCACGGCATCTGTCTGCAGTGCACGGCAGATCGGGGATAGAATGACGGGATGGCACGCGAGGATCAAGGCTGCAGCCCTGAGCGGAGTTCTGTAACACTGCCGCGGGGTGGTTTACAAGTATCACTGACTTTCACTTTCTCACTGTGACACTAGCCACGCACGGGGTCGAGACTTCTTCATGGTATCCAAAAGAACAGCATGGCGAAGTAAAACATATATATATGCTGTGCGCTAATTACTGTCTGGGAATTGTCGCCCTTCTAGTTGTCTAAAAGTTCTTTGAACCTCAGAAAGGCGACAGAGTGACTACAATAAGGATGGTGATCTCACTTGACATACTCTACAAATGATTTGACCAACCTAAATTAAATTAATAAATTCCTAAAGAAAAGACTGAAGAAATTAAGCGAGTAGAAAAAGCACTTCCGAAAACACAGCTCCCTCATGACCGTGTCTACTCCACTGACTCCATAAATCCTGTCCCAATATGTTTTCCTTCCCTAAACCGAAAGTTTTAATAGTGCATTACTCGTGATTCCTGGTGGAGTAAACGTTACACAACACCATCTGTCCACCCCACTCTGCGCGTGACGAGCTAATACCGCAGAGTGCCCCGATCCATACTCATGCCGGGCGGGGAGGGAAATTAAATTATGGAGGCAACCAACATTCTAAGTGCCTTTTCTGCGTTCAATTACGCGATTGCCCGTCAGACCGTGCGTGGAGAGGCAGAGTTCGGCAGCTCTCTGTCAGAACTATCTCGGGGGGAGGACGGGATGACTTCCTCACGGGTTGCTGGGTACCGCGACGCGTTTCATCCGTGAAGAACAATTTAGTGTTTTGTTTTCCAACTGCACGATTTGCTTCAGTCTCGTTTAGGGAATGCTTTTGTCTCCACTTCCATTGTGCCCTGTGTCTGTACGTTTGTGTGAACAGCATAACTCGAGAAGTTTTGAATGGATATCGATATTTCTGATATTTGGTATGTGGGTAGGTGTCGTCAAAACGAAGGAAAGCTTAGATAATTTAAAAATGATTCAGTTCCTGAAAGAAATGTACATGTGTAACTGGGACGGGGTATGGATATTCTATCGTGTTCTGTTGTAGAAAACAACTTATCTGAGAGTCCAGGGGCTGGGGGTCAAGGCTTTGACCTGTGCACTTTGATTACTCTGCTCTTCAATTATCAATCGCGCGGTTTTCCAGCGGCTGTTTTGATGGAGTGTTATTGATTCTGATCGTGGATCGTCCACAAAAAACGTCTAACCCCACGTCACAGCGCAGGTAGAACGGCTGCCTGCTGTTATGAAGATGGACGCGAAAAGGAAAACCTTTATATGGCTTTTTACGGCAATGATTTCTAAGTTTAACCATCCAGCATGGCAGACGTCATCCATAGTCACGTGAGAGCAAACGCCCTATCGATCTACCTGCGCTGCTATTAAGAAAGCCGTTGATATATTTGTAGATGCATGTAGATACATGTATCCTTGTGCCCCACATGACTGGTAAGCACAAGTCGGGCAGCTCCTGGTGTGGTCAACAGGCTAAAGGGGACCGACACGTCTAGAAAAGAAAACTTACAACGCTGGGAGACGGTCAAAATGAGTAAAAAGACTTAGGGAAGAAGCCAGAGTTGTGCATCAGGTCAGAGATCACCCGTCCTGTCCGCTGTCAGTGGAGTGAGTTGGCGCGCGCCGGCAGGGCCTGATCGACCGTGTGATTGTACCGTGTGTCCGTCCGGCCGGGCCGTGCACGATAACATCTGCCCCGCACAGCCTCCTATTAACGTGACCCACAGGCTCCATTTGCCACGCCGCTCCTAATTGGCGACTTGTAAAAATTTCATGACTCGATATTGGTTTTGACGTCAGGTTGGCGTCAGGTTCTGCGCTCTTACGGACCGTGACCTGCTTCAGAGACAGATATATGGTTACTTCAACCCAAGCGATTAAGCTCTCTCTCTCCCTCTCTCCCTTCCCCCTCTCTGCACACAGTTTTGGCCTGGGCATATTTTCCTTCTACTAGAGAGTTCAATAACTTTGTCAGTTAAACGAAAAGGAGACCCCATGTTTACATACGAACGTACGTGTGGGCACTGAAAAAAAGATGCACAGCTGTTACCGGAAAAGATAGGTAGGAAAATGCCCAACACTTCCTTGCAGGTCTTTGGCCTTCTAGTTTGCAGTCAACGTGTGCTCCTCACATTTATCTGCATTCCACAGCCGCTGCTCTTACTCATCTG